AACCGCGCCGAACCCCTGGACTCCAACTAGCCTAAAGTTGGTGGCGTTCTTTAATAGGCATGGTTCCCTAGGGGAAGGCATCCCTAAACTCAAAGAAGAATCTCAGCCTGGAGTGGAAGAGATGCTCCTTGTGGAGGCACGACGCTGTTGTTGAGCCATTGGATGCTGGCTATCCTAGCTAGGTATACTATATCAAAGCAGCCCAAATTGCCCATCCATCTCCGTGAACACTACAGCCTAGAAGCCTAAAACCCAAACCTGAATAGTATTTAACTTGGGACGACTATGGTCCCAACATAGAGTATGACTATGCTATCCATGATTCTCAGCTATGTCAGAAGAAGAACAAGATTTTACGAGGTTCAGCCACAAGAAACATCATTCACCTGCGGTCAAGGTCTCTGTCGGCAACATCGCCGGTCACTTGGCGGAGGCTGCCAAACTGCGACTTGAGGCAACTCTGGGAGTATAGAAAATCGAGGGTTTAGAGGTTAGGGATAGTAGGGTTATGTTGGGGTTATATAGGGATAATGGAATAGAACATGGAAAGTACTGTTCAGGGTTTAGGGTTTAGGGCTGAGGGATTAGGGTTTAGGGTACAGAATTCAGGGTTTGGGGTTACTGCAGCTTGAACAGGAGAATAGTCCATCAATTCCCCATATGTAGTTATAGCCGGGTTACTGTAGAATTACAACTGTACTATAAGTAGGTCAAACCGACAAGTGGCATGGGAGCTTTGAAAAGTGATCCCAATTAACGCCAGATCTTCTGAAAATGATCTCTGTAGAACCCCTAATAAGAATCATGAGTACCACCCTTATGCCGCTCGTAGACCTCATATCGCAACATGGAGCTTGAACAAGTGGCTGCTTGATTAAAGTTTTAACATAATTCCGAGAAAAAGAATCCGTAAGATTCAGTATAAGGGGGCTTCTGGGCTTATAGATCTGCACAGCCCTCAGGGCTGCTTTTGGGTAGTACGGAATGAAGGAATGGAATATAGGGATCACTGGTGTGGTTCCTTCATGCCATAGCAACCACCAGCCACAGAAGGCAAACATGCACTACACCCGCTACGATAAGCCCACCCGCGCGGTGATCAGCGCACCTTGCCTTTAGGCCTACAGGGATGTATGCGCTGCGCATCTACAGAGGTAGATAGGAATGCATGGGGACGGTTAGGAGATTCTATGTTCCTGACTCGGGATTAGACCGGGAGGGGTTGTCTGCTGGTAGTACGCCTGCAATGGTGTCAATGCTTTTGAAAGCTCAGCCCCAGAACCTGAACCCCAAGCCCGACTGTAAGCACTAAACCCAACGTGCGGCCACCATATGCAACGAAAGTTCCTCTATCAAGCCTTAAACACCCAAGCATGTTCTACTTTCACGCGCACCTTGAGGGTGTCCTCCAAGTTCAAGAGGCGTTGGGGCTGTTGGTCGCTAGTTGGGAGTTTCTCAAAACAGGGGATCTTAGGGACCTCTAGGATATAGACATTATGAGGCAATATTGAAGGTCTTTATTTGGGAGTATATTCTAAGCGTCCATACGCATGTCTCCTTCCCAGAAGGGCCCATAATGCAGCGAGCCCGCATTCAAGTGATTGTCAAAATTAGGTGTTCTAAAACGGCAGAGACAGGTGGTCGTATGCTTCTTGGAGGAGATTCTGCTTCATGGTGAGGTAGACTGAGACCGTTGCCGTGTGTATCGGGCTTATGTATGCATACATAGGAGGAGGACATAAAACGACTACGGAAGGTCAGTACGCTGAGTTGAGTTGGGGTTTCATCTGCTCTACATATAATGTCAAATACAGCTGCCCACTGGTCAAAATAAGTGTAGCTACCTTACCCGACCCTAATAGTCTAAACCCTAAGCCCCCTAAATAATACTTGGGATCTCTTGGTCTCAGCATGGTCTTTTTCCAGGTTTTGGACATACTGTAATTTGCCCAAACAACACAGAATTCAGGGTTTAGGGTTGTGAGGTACCCTTGAGCCTGGCCTTAAGCACACTCAAGCCGCAGTTTAGGTCCGTGCTTATGGTTTCGGGCTTAGGATTTAGGGTTCAGGAGTGAAGGGTCTAGGGTCCTTAAAGCCCCGCTGAAATCCCTGAAGCAGCTCTCAGGTGTTTGTGATCCTGGTTTCTGCTGCGATGGGAGGCTGCTTGTCTTTGCTGATGCAATTTCACAGGGTCTTTATCTTCAGGGATTCAAGGCTTCGAAGCTGGGATGTGTCTCGGACCCTGCAAACCTTTAATGCTACGCTCACCATACCTGGTGGCTATCCTGAAAGCGGTGATCCTTCACGGGCTTGACAAGAAGTACAGCCGGGGGCATACTCTCAGCCCCAAAGGTGCAAGGTTTGATGGACAAGCCCCTGAAGCTTTCACCCAAATGAATCATACATGCCCAAATTGCAAGTGTCCCTAAGTTCTGAAACCCTCGAAACTATAATCCCCTTAGGCCTGACGTGGGGAGCCACAAGAGTCGAATAGGCCTTTCGGGTACCATCTGGTCTGCTTATGCCTTTTCAGGCTTCTACCCCAGCCCAGACCCTTCAACCCTAAGCCCTTGAACCTCAAATCTAAGCCCTAAAACCTCTTGATCCCCAAAAGACCTCCAACCCTAACCCCCCCCCCAAAACCCTTCTAAGTCAACTAAATGCTGCACG